TTCAGCCTTTTTAGCATTCATGACCACTGCTCTTCTTGACCACTGCACATGACGACTTAATTTAGATTGACTAGGTGACGCGCCAGTCTGTGTAAAGCTGTCTGAGCCGTTAAAGGCTGATACAATAAAAAACAAACATTTCAAAGAAGGAGCCAGTTTTGAAATTTTATTTTTAGCTGGAGTCTTCAATTTATAAACGGTAAATGACAACCTGAACAATAATGATGTGTGAGGAGCTCGACATGAAAGTGTTTGCTGCCACGAACGAGTACTCTGATAATCTATACAGAAAACCTTTTTTTCCCGGAAACTATCAGATTTTCGCTTCGATTTTAAATCGATTATTTATTGGCGAATCATTAATTCCATGTTCTAAAACAAATACACAGATGTTCCGTTTACCCATAAGGCAAAATATGCTTGTTTACATTATTTCTCTCGTTTTTGAATTGGGCTGAAGACGTTTCTATGAGATTTGTTGTCTACGCTCCTTCTATTGTATCTCTGTCCGAACGATAGGCGTCTGTGATGAACGGAGGACGACAGCGCGCCGATACCTTGTTAGGTCTTCTTTGTGCAGCCCTTCGCCGCCTCTGCCGTGCGCCGGACGGGCGGCGCTTGCAGTCTGGCGCCTCCGTTGCCTTCTGCCCCACCGCCGCCTATTGCATAGCGCCACTAACGAGACAGAGGGACTACTCATGTTTGTTTAATTTAAGAAAAGTGTTGTAAGCGTTCAATTCAACTCAGGGTGGCCCAGAGGTTACAGTTCAGAGTATCAGGATTGGAGCAGAGACGTGCAGGTTCGAACCCAGCTCTGTGCGCCAGTTTCTGGTCAAAATTGGCAAGGAGGCCGGGCGGTTAAGCAGAGCAGAATTGGAGCAGTGAGCTGCGAGTTCGAGACCGCAACAAGTTGTGAATGTTCTGCTATGTTAAGAATCGGCGACAGGCCTCCGGCCTAATAAACTCTGAAACCGCTATTATTATTATTATTATTATTATTATTATTATTATTATTATTATTATTATTATTATTATTATTATTAAGATAAAATCTTGTAAACCGTCTATTGAGAATGTAAATCGTGAGGTTACCTGCTAAGTCCGTATTAGGCGTCAATAGAGAGGCCATTTCAGAATATGTTCCGTCGAAAACTGCAGTCTACAGCGATCGAGTTGTTAACCGCATCAACTATTTCATTCGATCGTTACTGCACGTTAATAATATGAGTAGTAAAATTATAAATAAAAGTGTACCTTCTTATGGCAACTGCTGAGTAAACGGAACTTCACAAGCGTTGAACACAATCGTACAAAAACATTCAATGATTTAGAATCTTGAACATGGAGTCCTACTCTATGAAGGGAGCCTTCAAACGACACGCATTAGTATTCTACAGTTCGTTCTGAAAAAATTTCATCAGATAATATTTATAGTGGCATTATTCGAACTCGTACGTCAGGATTGCACCAACTCTGTTGGGAATCCTTTGCTGGGGCTGAAAATATATAAGGCGCATTCAAGAAACTCTAATAAATGCAATATCTTATTGCTATTGCATGATAAACTAATTAATTGAAGTTTGCATATGATCTTGTAAAGCTAGAAAGTTACATAATCGTAGTATTGATTTGAATATCATTCGAAATATTCGTGGTACAGTGATGCTTGATTTATCTTTTCGTACATATGAGATATTCATTTATTTATATTTACCAACTGGAGCTTTATTCTTAGATATTAGATGGGAACTTGTGATCATTATTTAGGCTTGAAAAAACGTTTATTATTCTTTGATAACAGATTCTTATGGCAGTAATCAAGCAAATTTTAAAAAAGAAAATACAAAAATAAACCTTAATTATTATATTGGTTGCTTGTGATTTTTCATCACTTCCCGAAAAAATTATTATCCATATAATATTCTATATTTAACTGATTGATAATATGGATTTATATGAAATTGAAATTAGTGAGAGTGAATACGATGTAACACGCTTCACAACAATTAAATAAATACTGGAAAAATTCAGGTCTTGAAATTCAAAAAGATTATCGGAATGGACGTCTGTGCCGCATAACTTGAAGATTGCCGATATATATGCAGCATAGTTTGATTGCCGTATCGCAATCGCAATTGCCGTTATGATTGTCAGTATCGCATAGATCGAGTGACTGCTAGTACAGCATAGCTTGATGATTGTCAGTATCGCACAGCTTGAAGCCAATTCCGCATATTTTGATTACTATAGTACTCCATAGCTTGAAGATTGCCAGTGCCGCATCTTTTGATTGCTAGTACTGCATAGCTTGAAGATTGCCAGTGCCGCATCTTTTGATTGTTAGTACTGCATAGCTTGAAGATTGCCAGTGCCGCATCTTTTGATTGTTAGTACTGCATAGCTTGAAGATTGTCTGTGCCGCATCTTTTGATTGCTAGTAATGCATATTATGGTAAAATGCTCCGATAAGGAAAACAATCACACAACACAATTTTGTAATTTTTTACAATTTACAATTTACAATTTTGTAATGAAGTGAACTTGTAATTGTGGTCGTTGTAATTAGATATTATATATGGCATTAAACTAAGTAATAACAATTGCTTATTCAGTGATAAAATCTCATTGTTCATTATAATATATTGCTCGAAGTTGATTGTTACGTGTAATTATACTGTAGATACGAAGGCAACGTACAGTCGCTTCACTCAGAACGTTAATTTGTTTCAATTAATTTACGCACAAGCTGACCTCAGACTGGAATTGTTTTTGATGCGGTATGTACTTGATCAATGTTTTAAATATTTATGTTGACCACTGAAAGTCTCAAACTATGATAAATCAAACTACTCTGACAAGCAGCGAACCTAAGGTAACTCCGCAATTTGCCCGCTCAGGAAGCAAAAACTGAGAAACCTGATTCGACCAGACTCATGGTCGAAGGCTTCTAGAATAACGAAATTTATGTGGAATATGATTTTTCTAATACTTATACTGAGTTCGATAGTCAAAGATATATCTCGAGAAGTCCCTCAAGCTACATACCAAAATGTTTGCACGAACACTTGCATTTTTATTCTTGACCAATTATTAGAAGGCTTACTTTTTCCCGAATATTTAGTTGTAGTGCTAACTTTCATTAGTTAGGACACAGAAAGAAAGCGCGTTATTTTATTTATTAGTTTAGCTCAAATCATGAAAATGCAAAAAAATTTGGGACATGGTTTGGAGAAGGTTGCTCACAGATAATATTTTCGAAGGTCAAAATCATAAAAATGGCAAATTTATTCAAAAATATAAAACAAAAGTCTGAAAAATACAAGAACTTTCGGTGGGTGCCACACAGTCATGAAGACGAAAAAACAGATACTCCTGGGACTGTTAATGAGACGAGAATACCAGTCGATGTTGGAGGTGAAAATATTACACGATATAAGAGGTGAGATTATACTAAGATGCAAGATACGAGCAAATCCTACGACGTAAGAAATGAGAATATCCGAAGAAAAATGAGGCGAGGATTCTTACGATATGTGAGGCGAGGATTCTTACGATATTTGAGGCGAGGATTCTTACGATATTTAAGAGGATATCCTACGAGATGTCAGCCGAGAATTCTTACGATATATGAGGCGAGGATATCCTACTATATGTGAGGTTGAAATATCCTGCGATATATGACATGAGGATATCCTGCGATGTAGGATATGAGAAAATCCTAAGATAAAAGAAATGAGAATATCCTACAACATAAGAATTGAAAATATTCCGTGAGTGAGACAACAAAGATCTCGAAGGTCGCCATGCTTGCAAACCCCAAATTTGGTGCCGCAAATGAGGTAAAACCTTCGTCAGGTCAGCACAAGGAGGCGGCAGTTAGGCTGGAAATAGAGCCAAGGGGAGACTCCACCCAGACATGACCTGGAGGCTCGGAAGGCGAGCAAGGAACAACCGAGGCTATGAAATTCTTGTAGTCCGGGAGGTCGCTTTCCTTATGTTTTTTCTATTATTTGTTGGGCTACATTGATAGACTCAACCAGGTTATTAGGTCAGGAGGGTTGCCTGGAATGAGGGTAATGAAATTAAAAGCCCCAAAACATCTTCAATGTCTTGAGGTAAAGAAATGACTTGAATGAAATTAAATGCCCAAAAATATCAATCATTGTTTATTTTTTTTTTACTTTTGGTCATACTGAATCTCTATGATTATAATTATTACATGGAATTAATAGTGGCCTTTGTGGGAAGAGGCAATCACTAGAGTTGAAATTTGTCTGTTATCCAACTGTAATTTTCCATATCCTCATCCTCTGAGAGAGTATGAAAATACAAAACAAACTCCTTTAGTGCTACGAAAAAATATATCCTATATCTGACACCGCAGTCCCTGTCATAAGGGGCTAATTTATTTCTTGATCGTTAATGAAATTCGAGTATCGAATTAGCAGGCGCGTCCGTTCAGAGACGAAACTCCACGACGCGGACTCAGCAACCCTGTTTGTGTGACAAGCGCGCAAATTCGTTTAACTCAGAGTACATTGCATCAAACGGAAAATTTATAACAATATTACAGAATAATTGTGTACAAAATTTAGATTTTAGTCAAACAGACGCAAGGCTGGACAGCTCAGCACCTCGCTGAAGTGCACGGCACTGGAGTCGCAAGGCTGGACAGCTCAGCATCACGCTGAAGTGCAAGGCACTGGAGTCGCAAGGCTGTACAGCTCAGCATCACGCTGAAGTGCAAGGCACTGGAGTCGCAAGGCTGCACAGCTCAGCATCTCGCTGAAGTGCAAGGCACTGGAGTCGCAAGGCTGTACAGCTCAGCATCTCGCTGAAGTGCAAGGCACTGGAGTCGCAAGGCTGTACAGCTCAGCAACTCGCTGAAGTGCAAGGCACTGGAGTCGCAAGGCCCGCCAACTGAGTGGTTCTGACCGCTTTTTGCACGCGCCACGGCGCCTGGTCTGTGAGGGCAGCAGTCGAGCTGCAGGTGTCGCGGCGGCCAGCGGAGCGCGTGTCAACTGCGCCGTCTCTCTCAGCTGCGCGATCTCTCCTCTGATCGCGTCTTGCGTGTGATTTGCGTGTACGGGGATTATGAATATCTGTTATAAAACAGTGACAGCTTATAAAATTATATTTGCACCGAATTTGTGTCACTGGAGTGTAACCGAAGTGATTTTTTAATTTTAAATTTTAAACCATTGCGAGTTTGTTAACTTGTTGTTCTTATATTATGTGCTTTGGGATCATTCGTTAGTGTCGCTATGAGCCTCTTTAAGAGGGTTCGATCTACAAATTATCAAGCAGTCTCTATTTAAATTGTTTCCACACTTTGTGGGGCGAAGATTATGTTTCATTGGCGGCAAATTAAAGAGCGCTGATTGAAGTTTGATGTTACATAAAAGTAAATACCAAGATATCAGAAGCAAAAGTGCCAACAGTCAACAGTTTAGTTGATATTCAGAAAAATCCATAGCTTAGGGAGCCATTATACTGGGCAGGTGGATGCCCACGGCGCAGACGTCCATGTGGAGACGCCTCTCCATTGCCTGCATGTAAGTACTGCACATTTGATTACATCCATTGATCATAACTCATTGGTAATTACAGAGGAAAAGCAATGAATGGTTTACTGTTTGTTTTAAGCTACGTTAAGACGGGAAGGTAGTGATTTGAGGCAATCCTTCTCACTTTCTTTAGAACTGAGTTACTGCATAATCACCATCTGCACGAGAAACTCTTGGCAGTATTTATTCAAATATGGCTGGTGTTTTATGCGAATTGGCAAAGTATTTTATATAGTGCCCATGCGTTAGTTGATTGTGGGGGCAGAAAAAGATGATCAAATTCGTATTGCCAATTAAATTTAAAACGATTTTAAATAAACGAAGATCGATTCTTCGAACAAACGAACAAATTCGATCGATTCGAACAAACGAAGTCGCAAACGCTAGGAACGAGCGAAGCGAAGCAGAAGAGCCGCGGGTGTGTAAGGTGGAACAGTTCAGGCAGCTGCGTGTAGTATGTGGCCGTATAGGCGGCAGCTGCGTGTAGTATGTGGCCGTATAGGCGGCAGCTGCGTGTAGTATGTGGCCGTATAGGCGGCGTTCTTCCTGAGGTCATCACTCGACGTATGCGACATTTAAGGTGTAGCGATTCTAGGCCAGGCAGCCTCTGGTCCAGAGTTCAGCCTCAACACTTGTTGTTTGTGAGTAACCTGGTAGAGAAATTTTAAAATTTCTAACATTACGTTCACATACATTTTGAAATTTTAGATTTGGGTCATAATTTGAAAACGGATTATTAATCGAGAAACATGCGGTAAACATATCACCCTTACACATGACCGAAAGTTTAAAGGCCTGCTCATGTCACATACGTTTTATAATTTTAGCGTCAATCACGTTGCTTGGGAATAACTTCAATAAGAATTTGAGATAAGATTCGAACCTGCCAATTTGCCTGTTTCTAGTTTGAGTTTCAGTCACTCACATCGGTACACGTAAGGCAGAGAATAATATTAAGAAAAGTTACGCGATGTTGCCGCAAATAAGGAAGACGTAGTTAGAGATTCGTACAGCATTTGCTTTTCTATTTCAGTCTTGTCTGTATCAGCAGCCGGCATGTTCGCATTTGAGATCATTACGCATCATAAATTTTTAATGTTAGATAGACATGACACAAGAAAGTATATTTATTCATTCTTTCACAGGGTTTAATTTATTAATGAAGAGTGTCTGAAAAATTATGTTCGAGTGAAATTGTATTTTCATTTAGATTGTACATATCATATTTCGAAACTAATCAACTCTGATTAGTTAAGAATATTTCGGCAATAAACCAAGTGGAAGATAAGCTTTATTTAGCGTGCTTGTCTTGTCTTTGATGACCTCACTGACGGAGTTTTGCATAGATTCTAATCCACTGTTTTGAGCCTAACCAGCTGAGCATGGAAAGTGAACGAAAGCAGAGCGCCGCTGCGTTAATTAGGTCTTCAGGTGTGGCCAGATCGAGGCCAGCGCATGCGGTGTTTGTTGCAGCCTGTGCCGCGGTGCGCCATGCAGACGGCCTGTGCAATTATTGACACAAACTGTCTTTCACTGACATGATTCACTCCTTTCATTTCCGTAACCTTTTATTGCAGCAAAACTTCTTTATATTATGTCGATATAACGATTTAATTGAGCACTTTTCGAGGTTGCACTTCAGAATTTCACGTGGATGAAGCACGAAAATAGCCCGTGTTTTGTTTTTGCTTACAATCATTTCATAGATTGCTCATCGCGAATTGCACGTTGAAAATTTTTGATTTTGTTATGTGCAGCTCAGTATTGAGTCATAAATATATTTCTTGAGTTCCTAAATATTTTTGAGGTGTAATATAGCAACCGAAGCTCCAAGACAACGTCAAGGATTTATTTTCAGTCCAGAGCTCTGTCAGTTTAACATAACTTGGAATCCGTCCCGCCTTCGATCAACACCAATTTCAGTACTTAACAATACACAGTGCAATACAATTTTCATTTTTGTTGCACATCGATATGATCATGTCACCGTGCATTCGGCTGTGTTTCAAATTCTTCACTACACGAAGTGTTGGCGCAGCCGCCGTTGTATATCGACATTTAGGTATAAATACGATAACACGCAGCTGGTCAAGGACCCATTATTGCCTTTATACGTTCACGTGATAAACCACACGTGTCACGGGAACATGTGGTTGTGGTGTCTGCACATAATTGGTGTGGTGTGGTGTCTGCACGGGAACATGGGGTGTGGTGTCTGCACATAATTTTTTTTGAGCAATTTTATCCATCATATTGAATTATCCGTGCGTTTAACGGTCCAAATGTGCTGCCAGATCGAAATGATGATCCGCCAGCATCATGCCGAAAACTTGTGACCAATGAGCTTGCATTCAAATCAGACAATGCTAGAGATGAGGGACCCGTAAAATGTTGATCAAATGAGGCGCAAATGAGGCAATGCCAATGAGGTAATGTGAGCGGGCTCATGCGTGGACAGGATATATGTATATCATGAAGCTGCATGTTGGATGCAGTTGACGTCGGATGAAGTGAGTTGGCGCAGGACGAAAAAGGCCATGTGTGGATGTTGATTAAATTCAATTCAGAGGCTAGAGTGTGCTTGGGAATCTGTAATCGTTGGTAATTTTTTATTTGATATATCACACCTTAATAAACAAGAAGGTATTAAAATGTGGTGCGGACAGTGTGATCACGAAAATAAGATTGGGCTGGACCATGATCAATTAATGTTGATCCAGTCGCAAAAGTGTCTCCGAATTTTATCACAAGTTGCATGTAAGAGTTACTGTATGTTTTCTGCTAAGCGTTGAAGGCATATCTATATCTATGAAGGTATATAGCTGATTATTGAATATAAATTTATTACAGACGATTTATTCTTTTCATCGATCTTTCAATTCCGACATTTTCTCGATATAATTGTAATTGATTTGCTCAAGAAGTTTCAAATTTCTTAACTGAATAAAATGCCAGACAAAAATCAAGGACGCTATAAAATATTTGCAGCACGAAATGATCGAATTATCTTGTGATTTCATGCATGGAATCTAGAATTCCTTATTTAAACGAAAACTTTTTCCTAAATAATGTTCAAACAGTTGTGAAATGATGGAAACAACGCAGTACCGTGGCATATCAGGCAAGCGGTTACTTGATCGATTGGAAATGAATTTATTAAGGATTGATTATGGAAGTAATTATATAAATGCACATTTAAATTAATTTTGTTATAAGCAACTCATTCTAGATAAGATTCTGGGATTGTGTCAGTTTAATATATTAGGAACATGATACCACCAATACATTCGCTTACTTGGAATAGAAATGAATAATTCATTAATATGCTCATCAAGCCATATTCGGAATTAGCTCATAAGATCGCGTCTCTGCAGGGAATAATTACTTAACCATATGTTCTAATTTTAATTAGCATATCACAGGAATCATATAATAATTTATTTGGTTAATGGTGAATCTCTTCAAGCCGAAACTCCGCTATATATACTTACCACACAAAATTGTCAATAAAACGAATTCTTTGGTCTTCAATGAAACTTACCACACAAAGTATACATCGCTGGTGTCGTCAGCCAGCCAGCGCCTACAGCCTGCATGGGGCTGGACTGCCGTCCCCTGTCATGAGCGCCGTACATCACCAGCTTGAGGCGGCACGAATGAAAACCTTTAAACTCTAAAGCATTGCAATTCCCTGCAATTCTTACAAACTTTCAAATTTAGGCCATATGTTTAGAGCTTGTTTCATGCGCCGGCAGCTTTGTGGTTTTTACTTAGTTTGTTTTTTCCTTGGGTCACAAGAAAATCTATTCTGGAATTATTTGGATGAATAATAATAACAATAATAATAGTAATAATAATAGCGGTTTCAGCATTTATTAGGCCTTAGGCTTGTTGCCGATTCTTAACATCGCAGAACTTTCTCAGCTTTTTGGGTCTCGAACTCGCAACTCACTGCTACAATTCTGCTTTGCTAAACCGCCCGGCCTCCTCGCTGATTCTGACCAGAAACTGGCGCACAGAGCTGGGATCGAACCCGTGCCTCTCTGCGCCAATCCTGGTACTCTGAACTGTAACCACTGGGCCACCCTGCATTGAATAGGCATTCAAGGCAAGCCATAGTTTATATGATATAGAAGTGGGTTTTTCAAGCTTAGCTGCTCAAGGGAGCGCAGGCTAAATAGAATCTTTGTGGTTTATTGCTTTTGTTTACTTTCTTATTTCATTACTTGTGATAAGATTTGTAATATCATGAGATACCATGGGAATATTACTAATTATTGAGGCTGAGCTCGATTTTGATGACGGTATCGACTGAGGCGTGAGGACTGGAGGACGGAGGGTTGTTCGACTGAGGCGTGAGACCTGGTGGTCGGAGGGTTGTTCGACTGAGGCGTGAGGCCCAGTGGCCAGAAGGTCGTCATCATGACCGAGATAAGCAGACTGACCGCAGCTGCCCAGCGTGTGTGTGCTAGGCAAGGTATAGGTCGAGGTCGCCACTGCGGCCCTGGCCAGATTGCCATTTTTGAGGAACTTCCTCGGCCGATGAGCTGTGAGTTTTGGTGCACTTTTTACTGTAGAGACATTTCGTGGTATATTTAACTTGGGCTATATGTGGTTAATCTGCGCTCTACGGTATAACGAAAACATGATGGCTTTATGAATTTGTTTTGATGAATCTGTCATGAATTTGTATACGGATTTCATATAACAAAATAGTCATCAAGATATCATGATGAAATTTATTTTCACAGCTTGACGCGCGTTTAACAGAATTCGTTCGTACTTATCAGATTAAAACAATTAAAAATTTGCCATCAAGCGTCTCATCAAAAGAGATCAAGTTTTTCATAGAGAAGTATTAGTTGAAAATTTAATGGTCGCCGACATTTTAATTCCGAACATCCATACTTTCGGCATTCGCCTGTGATCCTCGCTTCGTGGAAGTTATCTGCACTATTATGTTCATATATACTATTAGCAGAGTATAT